CCTCATTTCCGCGCTTCCGCGCTTGTTGTCTTTCTGTTTTTTTCTAAATGCTGCTCTCGCTGAAGCGCTGGCTTCATTTTCGGGCTACCCCTCGTTCCGAATCGTGCTCCCGCTGCAGCGCTGGCCTCATTTCCGCGCTTCCGCTCGTTCGCAATCGTGTTCCCGCTGCAGTGCTGGCGTCATCGTTTCCAGAGCCATGCCACGGCAGGGTTTTTGGTCCTTCCACATAAGCTCCAAACTCTAGAAAATGCCCCCCCCCGAAAAAGTTATCCTGACGAAGGACCCAACCATATGCAAACGTGAATACCGCAGGGCAGGTGGGACGAAGCAAAAAGAATTCCCAATGTGGCCACGAACCGTGTGAGGGGTGCGCCACATTGGGGCGGGGCCGCCATGCGAACCCTGCCACTGAGGCCTTCGGTGGAGCTCTCTATGTCCCTGCGGGGCCACGAACCGTGTGAGGGGTGCGCCAATATGGGGCGGGGCCGCCATGCGAACCCTGCCACTGGGGCCTTCGGTGGAGCTCCCTATGGGGCCACGAACCGTGTGAGGGGTGCGCCAAAATGAGGCGGGGCCGCCATGCGAACCCTGCCACTGGGGCCTTCGGTGGAGCTCCCTATGGGGCCACGTAACGTGTGAGGGGTGTGCGGAAATGGGGGCGGGGCCGCCATGCGAACCCTGCCACTGAGGGCCTTCAGGTGGAGCTCCTAATTTCTAATGGGGCCACGACCTGTGAGGGTGCAGCCAAATGGAAGGCGGGGCCCGCCATGGCGAACCCTGCCACTGGGGCCTCTTCGGTGGAGCTCCCTATGGGTCCCGAACCGTGTGTGAGGGGTGCGCCAAAATGAGGCGGGGCCGCCATGCGAACCCTGCCACTGGGGCCTTCGGTGGAGCTCCCTATGGGGCCACGAACCGTGTGAGGGGTGCGCCAAAATGGGGCGGGGCCGCCATGCGAACCCTGCCACTGAAGCCTTTAGTGGAGCTCCCTATGGGGCCACGAACCGTGTGAGGGGTGCGCCAAAATGGGGCGGGGCCGCCATGCGAACCCTGCCACTGGGGCCTTCGGTGGAGCTCCCTATGGGGCCACGAAACCGTGTGAGGGGTGCGCCAAAATGAGGCGGGGCCGCCATGCCAACCCTGCCACTGAGGCCTTCGGGTGGGAGCTCCCTATGGGGCCACGAACCGTGTCGAGGGTGTGCCAAAATGGGGGCGGTGCCGCCATGCGAACCCTGCCACTGAGCCTTTAGTGGAGCTCCCTATGGGGCCACGAACGTGTGGGGGTGTCCGCAAAATGGGGCGGGCGCCATGCGAAACCCGGCACTGGGGCCTTCGTGGAGTCTCCCTTGGGGCCACGAAACCGTGTGAGGGGTGCGCCAAAATGGGGCGGGCCGCCATGCGAAACCGCCACTGGGGCCTTCGGTGGAGCTCCGTATGGGGCCACGAACCGTGTGAGGGGTGCGCCAGAATGGGGCGGGGCCGCCATGCGAACGCAGCCACTGGGGCCTTCGGTGGAGCTCCCTATGGGGCCACGAACCGTGTGAGGGGTGCGCCAGAATGGGACGGGGCCGCCATGCGAACGCAGCCACTGGGGCCTTCGGTGGAGCTCCCTATGGGGCCACGAACCGTGTGAGGGGTGCGCCAAAATGAGGCGGGGCCGCCATGCGAACCCTGCCACTGGGGGCTTCGGTGGAGCTCCCTATGGGGCCACGAACCGTGTGATTGGTGTGCCGAAATAGAGACATGCGGAGGGTGATGCTGATGATGATGCCGAATATCATGGTGTTGTTGATGATGACGATGATGATGATGATGATGATGACGATGATGATGATGATGATGATGATGATGATGGCAGGAGGGAGGGGGCAGCGGGAGGAGGAGAAGGAGGGAACGCGGGGCACCGTCTCTTCAAAACGAGGACCCAACACCACAGGATGGTTGGGAACAATCAGAAGTGATTACGTGTTCTGTGTCGATTCGTTCATTTTTGGGGCCGCAGAGGCCCCCCCCTTCTCTTTGGGGCGTCACCACGCCATGCTATGTCAGGGTACGCGTCCTCATTTCCGCGCTTCCGCGTTTTTCATTGTTTTTGTTTTTGTTGACAAAATGTTGCTCTCGCTGAAGCGCCGGGCTACCGCTCGTTCCGGATCGTGCTCCCGCTGCAGCGCTGGCCTGATTTCCGCGCTTCCGCTCGTTCGCAATCGTGCTTCCGCTGCAGCGTTGGCGTCAGTATTTCCAGTGCCCTGATGCCACGACATGGCGTTCGGTCCTTCCAAAGGGGCTCCAACATCTAGAAGATGGCCCCCCCGAAGAGACCATCGGAAGTGATTACACAGTCGGTGTCGATTCGTGTATTTTTTGGGCCGCAGATGCCCCCCCCACTTTGGGGCGTCGCCACGTCATGCTCTGTCATGCTACGCGTTGATCTTCGACACCATGCTATGTCATGTAATGCTACGCCATGCTACGACACCCGATTGTGCGAATCGAGAAGAATCTACGCCATGGTAAGGGATGGGAGGGAGGGGTAGGACGTCAGACATGCCGCGAGCGCACCCAGCTCGTCCTCATCCTATCCTCCATCTCCTCCCATCGGCTCTCCGATCGGTCTGAGGGAATGCGCCCCATGAAACTGGTCCATGCAGTTACTCTGCCGCACTCATTCTCCAGAGCTCTCCGCGTTTCAGATCGGTGGTTACATGTGCAGACACGTAGGTTACGCATTCCGGCGGTAGTGATGGACTGGAATCTTGCAGAGGAGGAGGAGGAGGAGGAGGAGGAGGAGGAGGAGGAGGAGGAGGAGGAGGGGGAAAGTCCCCCTCTCCTTCTCACCGCCTTCCTTCTCCTGCAGAGCGTCCTCTATACAAAGCCGTAAGGGGGGTGCAATCGCCCTATCACCGCTACACTCCACTGCCGCATTTGGTTAATATTTGGTGTAACGCGTCCTGTCAGGGCGACGCGAATTCCCTTATTATTTTTGAATCGTCGGCGTGGGTTCGTGACAGCAGAAGAGAGCAGGAGTCAACCGTAATGGTGTTCGCTTCTGAGGGGCATCATGAAATATGTTGGAAGCCCTCTGAGGCTGTTTGGGGTACCCCTGGGGCCCTCTCGGGGCCATCGTGGAGGCCGTCGATCAAAATAGGGAGGTCTTAAATTCGCGTCGCTTGTCGCAGCCCGAATGATTGCATCTGGGGACACTCTTGGGACGCTCGTGGAGCGCTCTTGGGGGTAATTATCCGACACCCGAGAACCCCAGAGGCGTTCGGATAACCCAGAGGTGCCAGAAACGCTTAGACACCTGAAACATTCAATGCGTTTTTGCATTTTTCTTGGCCTCCAGCCTCTGGCGGCAATGTTCGGGCTCCAGGACCCTCAAAACACGGCTCCGGAAGAACAACGGGGCTTGGGAAGGGGTGTCGGGATCTCTAAGGATCCCGTAGCAGAAGAGTCAAGACATCGCATGTCTGGGTGTCGGCTGCGACCCTTCCTTCCTTCCTTCGTGCCCAGTCAAGTCGGCTCCGATGCACCCCTCGATCGTATCCGTCGCTTCTTGGGCACAAGTTGCCGCTGGCAGCCGTTTGGGTGTCCGCCCCTGCCTCTCCCGGCCGAGGCCGCCGCAAAGCCGCGCGGGTCGGCGTACTTCGACCTGACGGGCGGCAGCAGCCCTGGCGGCGACTCACGCCCGGGGCCCTGCCTCGGGGGCGGGAAAGAGGGGGGTGATGACTAGGGGGGGGGGGGATATCATGGCGGGGGTCATGGTATTTCCCCAGATTTCATGGCGCCTCTTCTTATTTCATTACGTCCCGGGCCCCCCCGCTGGGCCGCGCACATGCCGCCGGTCATGATTTACACCCCCCCCTCTTGGACAGCCCCCTCTTGGCCGCTCCCGATTGCCCGTGCCCACCAGATCGGCGGCGTGCCCCTCCGAGGGCCTCGCAGGGCGCCGGACGCGAGGACGGCTCCCGCCCCCGCGGGAGCGCGGGAGGGCAGTCGCGGCCGGCGCTCCGCGAGGTCCTCGGGGAGCGCACGCGCGGCAGGCACGCGGCGCGCTGCACCGCGGCGGCGGCCCCGGCGCGGGCGGGCAAGGCTGAGCGCCGCCACGCGGCCCCGAGTCGGCCGGGGTCGAACGATCTCCGCCATCCTCGGCATCGCTCGGACGTGTGCCTTTTCCTTTGACGAGGGCCATCGAGGAGCATCCTCGATCATTTGGCGAAGAAGCCACGCACGAAACCGCAAAAAAAGCACAGGGGATGGACGTCCGAGCGATGGCCAGCCTCGGGGAGCCCCGTGGGCCCCGGTCGTTCGGGGCGGTCGCGCGCGGCGGACACATCCATGTCCACGCCACTCGCGGTCTGGACACCGAGGCGCGGCCTCGTGGGTACGCGATCCCTCCTCCTCCTCCTCCTCCTCTTTCCTCCTCCTCCTCCTCCTCCTCCTCCTCCTCCTCCTCCTCCTCCTCCTCCTCCTCCTCCTCCCCCCCCTCCTCTCCTCCTCTCCTCCTCCTCCTCCTCCTCCTCCTCCTCCTCCTCCTCCATCTCCCCCTCCTCCTCCGCGCGGAGCCTCCGTGCAACGCCACCTTGTATCCATGGGGTCGTGGCCGAGAGGGGTCAGGACCGCGAGGCCGTGGATGTGGATACGCCTCCCGTCCACGAGGCCAAACGGCCCACTCGGTGTCGGAAGCCAACGCCCGTGCTGTCGCGTCGTGAACCCGTTGGCATCCAGATCGGTGGGGGATGGACAAGTCCCCGTGCTCGGGCGTTCCCAAAGGTGTCCTTGGTCCGGGGTGTCTCCAGGAATGCTGGAGAAGCCCAGGTGGCCTCCTGAGCACCCCCCTGACATCCGACGTCGTGATTTTTCATAGCGCGGCTACCACGAGGTCTGGACCCCTTCCCCGAGACCAGCTTTTCATCCTGAGTCGTCGTTTCACGGTCCTGGGCCTGGTGAGGGCCCCCCGAGCTCGAAAATTAGCAAAAGATGCTTATCGTGATTCTTGTCAGGCCCCGAGAGGCCCTGAGGGCCACGTGGGGTCTCCAGATTGTCGCGAAAATCCGGAGATGTTTCGGGCCTGGGGGACACTTCCGGCAGACCCCCGGTGCAGGCGGGGCGGAGCGCGCCGCGGAAGGCGGTGCGCCGCGGTTGTACGCGGTCGGCGGCCGCGCGGCCATCTCGTCGGGCATGCTCGGCGGCCGCGTGCCGCAGGCGACGGCCGACCGAGTTCCGTCTGTCGTCGTCGCTGTCGCCGTCGTCCGTCGTCCGCCATATACCGTCTGCCGTCTTCGAAGAACAAAGAAAGCGCGTAAACAGTAACTTTAGTAGTTCCGCGCAGACTTCTCGAATCGGCGCTGGGCTCCCTAGCGGCGCCTCTGGCGCCACCCGTGGTGCGGTCCGCCCGAAAGGGAGGGGGATCCAGCGCCGATCCGAGAAATCCAGGCGGAGCTCCGACAGTTTGCGCGTATGCTGCTTTATGTTCCTCTGCATCCGCCGTCCGCCGCCGTCTTCCGCCCCTTCTTCTTCTCTTCCTCGCCCTCGGGCCCTCTTGGCCGCTCCAGGGCGGCCGCCGGCGCTGTCGACGACGGCGGCGACGACCGCGGCCACGGTGGCGACGGCGGCGGCGGCGGGGAAGGAAGCGACGTCGACAACATGGAAGCGGCGACGACGACGCGGCTGGCGGCGGCGACTGCGTCGGCGTCGTGTCCTCGTGTCAGCGGCGGACAGGCGGACGCCTCGGTGCGGCTGCTGGACACGGGCTCCGACAGCTGGCAGCAGGTGGCGTCGATGCAGACCGCGCGCGTGGAGCACCAGGCCTTCTTCCCTCATCATCCTCCCCACCTTCACGTCATCATCAACAGCAGCAACAACAACAGCAACACCATCATACGTACCATCATCTTCAGCAGCATCAGCAACTAAAACAACTAACATAGCAATATCAGTAATAACAACAACAACACCAATAACAACAACAACAACAACAACAGCGCCAACCACAACAACACTATCAACACCAACACTAACCATAACACCAACAGCGACAGCAACAACAATCACAACAACAACAACAGAAACAACAACAACAACAACAACAACAACAACAACAACAACAACAACAACAACAACACCAACAACTATAACAAACACAACGACAGCAACAGCACGTACAACAAACAACAGCGACAACACATACAAAAACAATAACCTCCTCATCAATATTAGCAGCAGCAGCATCAGCATCATTGCTACCAACATCCGCATCAGTACCATCACCATCATCATAATGACCACCACTCTGCCTCGCCAACATCAACAATACTTCTCATCAGCGTCACCTGATCGTAGTCGTACGCATCATCACCGTCAGCAGCAGCAGCATCATCAGCAGCAGCGTCAGCTTCATCAGCAGCATAATCGTCATCAGCATCTTCATCAGCATCGTATTCATCGTCCTATTCATCGCCATCTTCATCTTAATATTGATCTTCATCGTCGTCGTCGTCGTCTCTCCTCCTCCTTCCGCCTTCCTCATCTCGCCCTCCTCCCCAGCCCGGGGCATTGGCTGTGGGATCTTCTGCCCAAAGTTCCAGCGTCTTCATCGTGCCTCCGCTCGAAATAACATGAGAAAATGCATCTAGCATAAACTGTCTGAGGTCCGCGCGAATTTCTTGGGTCGTCGCTGGACCCCTTCCCCTGGCGCGCAATGTGGGCGTCAGGGGCGGCTCGGAGGCGATGCCAGGGGAGGGGGCCCAGCGCCGACTCGACCCAAGAAATCAGCGTGGACCTCCGAAAGTTCATGTTCATGCATCTGCTTGTCATTCGATTCGACGCCAAAGGTTGCACCATGCATTGACACTTTATGTTGTTTGGGTTGTGGTCCTCCTCCTCCCCCTCCTCCTCCTCCTCCTCCTTCCCCTCCTCCTCCTCCTCCTCCTCCTCCTCCTCCTCCTCCTCCTCCTGGGACGGGGCGGCGGTGCGCCATATGGGGCGGCGCGCTCCCCAGGCCGAGCTCCCCCTGCAAGGGTCCACGGCAACGCTGCAAACCGAACACCCGGGCACGACGCTGCGACGCAGCCCTGCGTGGCGAAGCCCGGCTCGTCTGCGCACGTCTGCCGCGGCGGTCTCCGCCGCCGCCTCTGCGCCGCGCGGGCGCCGCCCCGGGGCCTCGGCCACGGGCGCCACGCGGTGGCGTCCAGGGCTGCCGCCCCGAGGCGTTCCTGGAGCGGCCGCCTGGGGCGTGCCTGCGGGGGAGGAGGAGGAGGAGGAGGAGGAGGAGGAGGAGGAGGAGGAGGAGGAGAAGGAATGAGGAGGAGGAGGAGGGAGGAGGAGGAGGAAAGAGGAGGAGGAAAGAGGAGGAGGAGGAGGAGGAGGAGGAGGAGGAGCGCAGGCAGGGCGGCCGACCTTTCAGAGATTTCGGGCCTCCAGGGGCCCGCCTCGGGTCCCCCCATGGCGGCCGCCGGAGGCCGAACCTTGGCCCAAGACGTTCGAAGACCTCGTTCGTCCATCCTTACACGTGCCCTCCCTACTCGCCCGAACGCTGGAAGCCTCGCTCCTCGAACCGCCGCCTCCCTGCCTCCCGCCCTGCAACAGAGCAGCCCGCGGCGGCGCGAGTCCCACGCGAGAGATGCGTGGCCGCCGCGGCGCCAGGTGTGCGGCGCAGAGGAGGGGAGGTCGACTGCACGCACATCCGTGCGTTCCGTCCACCGCGGAAGGGCCCCGCGCGAGCTGCTCCTGCCCACGCGAGTTGCCGCGCTGGCGGCGGCCTGCGCGAGCCACCGCGTGAGGGCTGCCACCCCCATCTCACGCCCGCGCCGGACCCCTTGGCCGCGCAGGCCCCCGTCCCTCGGACCAGCTGTTGATCTTGAGCTCAGGGGCGACGTTTGGGGGGAACGGATTCAGGGGGGAACGCATTGGCCCCTAATCGCCCGATCTTCGCCGCTGGTGACCTGATAGCCCACCCCGCCCCCATCAACGTGCGGCTTCGCTATCGAGTGCATGCCGCCGATCTATCGGCGAGTACCGCCCATTTAAGTTCGATGTTCCCCCCCATGAGCCGGTCCACCCTATAGTTGCCCTTCGTGGGCTATTTCTGACGGCCCTGGGGTCCAGTGAGGGCCCCCAGAGGTCGAGAATTGCCCAACCGAAAGTCTCGCCTTCTTCTTCGCGGCGCGAGGGGGTCGGGCGCGCGTGTCCGACCCTGTTCTTCTTGCCAGCCAGGTGGCCGTGGTGAAGGGCAGCATCTACGTGACCGGCGGGCGCTCCGGCTCCACCGCCCTCTCCTCGTGCGAGCGCTTGGCGCCAGAGGACCAGCGAAGTCTCAGAGCTCGACCCGACCATCGACACACCAGGGCGCGGCTCCTGGGAGCTTCCGGTCAGCATCGGCGCTGGTATAACTGTGGTCGAAGACGAGCCCAGTCTGGCATAATCCCGTTCGGTTCCGCCCAACCCAGCCGAGTCCCCCTTAGTCTGGCGTGATCTTGGGCTCAATCTGGGCTAGTTGAGCTTAACGGCCCACCAATTGGGCTTAATAGCCGTTAGCCGTTGTTACGAAGACCTCCCAGAAGCTGCTTCCTAACATCCACCCACTTTAAACGAGGTTCGCTGTCTTGGTTCAAGACTGCGCAGTCCTATATGCTAGGTGCACTGCCTTGTGTACCTCTATTTGCGTTTCACAGCAACGGACAAAGGCCACGTTCTTCTATGATCCATATCCCGATCCCGCGGTTTTTCTCCTATTCCTCGCCTTGCTTGCCATCAAGGGATGAGTTGTGGGATACCTCGATACATTGCCGATGTTATCCTAAGAGTCGGGTTATCCGCGTATTACCTCATGGTCAAGCCCTGTACCCCTATTTTGCACTTGGTGACGGAGCTGGCTACATCTTCATGTTGTCTGGCTCTTACATCAGGTGTTATGTACATCACAACCCACCACGGCACAGTGGATTACCCAACTGCGCCTGCTTTCAGCCACGACACTCTTAATACTCCCGAACCAACTGGTAACTTACACTCCTATCCTCCATCACCCCACCGCGTGGCCACACGCCGCACACGACCCAAACACCGATATCTATCCGCAAGCTGACGGCCACGTCAAACCAGACACCCTGTCGCAGACCTACGGGCGCGACACTATCCAACGATACGCAACCCAGCATCATCAGCTATACTATGACTGCGCATCATGTTAAGGCCGCGATCTTTGGATCAATCTGGGTGTGCATCGGCCTTGCCGTTGCATACATACGAGGAGGAGGATTAGATGGAATATGCACTCGGGATCCTTGGTAACGCACCCTTTTTCCGCGACTTTGTTCACGAAGGACACGCGTGGCTTAACGTCACGAGCGGAAAGATGACTCCACCCCAACAGGCAGCTGCTTTACAGCGCGGCCCAAGGGGACTGGCTAGGACACTGGCCGTGAGGGTGCCGTTCACCATCATCATTTACGGTGTCACACTGCGCCGCACCGGTGGAGTCACATACACCATGTGCCTACTAAACACTTAAATTGAAAGCCGCGAGGACGAGCAACAGCTCACTTCAGGGACAGCCCTCATCGACTTCAGACTCGAAAAAGGTGAGCGTATCGACTCAGTGCAAGCCCGGTTCGAGATGGCCAGACTGGAAGCAGATTCAGCAGGTTTCAACAAACCCAAATTCAAGGTCTTCACCCTGATGTTATTTCGTGCTTTGGGGGGTGGTATCGACCGAGCAGTCCAATTATTTCAACCGCTGAGCCACAAGGTGCTCCGTATTCAACAATAATACAACCCACTCCGGGAGCGAATGCGCAGCAATGGACACTTAGCCGAGTGTTCCCCAGGGATGTAAGCGACCCACCGGCAGCCATGCCGAACAGCATCTGGAATGACGGAGAGCCCACAGAGTCCACGACGCTCCTAGGCCAAGACGCCCACAACAACGATCATGAACATGCGTCTGGCTCAAACATGGGCTGGCCGTCAGCGGCCAGCGACGCACCACTTGACGCGACGACGCTCTGGGGTTCACCCAGCCAACAAGATGACGACGCATTCGATTCCGGTACTGATGCCGACACGGTCTCCTCTACCGAGTGGTCAGGCTTGCCCGCCGGTGATGACGCAGCTGCACAATACTTATACCCAGGATGTCAGCACGCCCGAAGAGGTGGAGGCGACACATGAGAACAAACAACAAGAAACAATAAAGTTTCAGGCGAGCTGCACGTCGCGTCTTCTTCCGCAAAGGAACGGGCCGCGGCGCCGGTGGTAGACGCGCCCGCAGATTGCATAGCGAGGCATAGCTACGTTCCTGGCTCGATTGACCGACTACGACTTTGAATACCTATTCCCTGGACGTAGACTTGGAGGTAAAGGTCGTAGGCGCACAACAGGTAAGGGCGAAGCACGTAGGCTCAATACAATGGGCAAGGATGGAATTGGGATGGCATGCAACACTTGCGGGAGCGACACACTTCCAAGCGCAATGCTCCAAGGGAGATTGAAAAGGGGGCGGATCCGTTTTTTCTTGGCTTAGGGCAATCCGAAGCGGATATTATTGAGAACGTTGATTTCCCCAACACCGACCATCCTCTTTTACTCTCCAACCATTTCTGCTTGGTTTGTGAGGGCACATTTTGCCGGCGCTGCCGCGTCGGCAGAGCGCTATGCCGAGTGCCTCCACGACGGGGTCGACGAGCTTCGCGGCGCCCCCATCGAGGACAGGGTCGGCGCGCGCTGGCGCGGACGCGCACAGGGAGACTCCGACGACAACGACGATGGAGACGACTGCATGTCCGACGCGGAGACCACGCCCGCCATCGACGCTGACTTGATGGAACGGCTCGGACACGAGCAGACACGACACCGCGCGCTCCCGGCCCCGACGGCGTTCGGACTCACGGAGGAGGAGCGGGCTGCAGTTGGGCGGGGATAGACCCATGCCAGCGCATTTTATGATGCGGGGAAAGTCCGGGAAGGCCCCAATCGGCTCGGGCGGCCCCTACAAGGGCGACAACAAAGGCAGTCGCCGCGGCCGCAGTTTAGCGACCCGCCGCGCGGCAGGCGCGCCATGCAAGGCTGAAAATATAGCCCGGACACGGGCGGCCCCGAGAGCGGCCGCAGCCATTCTCGCGGCGCCCGCCCCTCTAAGGGCAAAGGCTACGCGCCGTCAGCTGAGCCCGTGCACGGCGCGAGCTCCAGCGATGCAGGCCGGGGACAGGGGCGCGCCTCTTCCGGTGAGGGGGGCGCCACTTTCGCTTGCGACGACCGGGGCCCGCGCGCGGAGATCGACGAATCCGACGCGAGCTAGTTCTTCGAGCAGGGCTACGCAGAGGCGCAGATTCGCCACTGGCGGTCTTTACAGCATTTCGTTATCCGCGAAGACCACGTCATCAACGCGTCAGAACGTCGCGGCAGGGGCAGCGACGAAAAGCTGATATACAAGAGAAATCGAATCGAGAATCGCAGGGAATCCCGCATATGCCCATGCCCGGCTCGCAGTCAGCATCGCGGCAATTGCCCGATTGACCGCCCGTCTCGCAGCCTTCATCATGGCGAGGCGCCTTGGGCCCCCGGCCACGGCGATGGCGCGGGCGGGGGGGGCGGCCGCGCCCAGCGAGGGCATGTCCCATTTGACCGACGCGGAAGCTTGGGAAGTAGGGGAAAAATGCGAAGATCTGGGCGACGGTCGCATTCTCAAGATCCACGACGCGGCCTGGCGCCACCGGCATCTGGGGGAGCGCCCCGCTGACGACAGCGACGACAGCGCCCCCGGCGTGCCTCGCCATCGCGAGAGGAACGCGACAGGTCAGATCATTGGACGCACTGGGGCCGAGGCCCTCGCGCCCCCTCCAGCGTCGATCCGGGCGGCAGACGAGACGATAGAAGAGGGGGGCGGGGCAGGGCGAGCGGCCTCTTGCACCCGCTTCACCTGCCGAGCCACCAGGCGGGCGCGCTCAGGGCGAAAGCAACCCCGACAAGGAAACGGGCAGACATGCGACGCCGGCAACGTCCCCAGCAGTGGCAACTCCGATTCCACTGCGATACGATGCGGGGCCACCTGCAGTCAGCGCCGCGTCGATACTGGACGCGGGGGCACCTGCGGCCCATGCAACGCCAAATCCTTTCAATAATCCATTGCTTGACAGCCTAGAAGGGCAACAACAACGAGCGGGTTCAAGACGCCACCGCAGCCCTCGCTCGGCCACGAGCAGAAGGGTGAACTCCCCATCGAGCAATGCGGCATTCGACACAGGCAGTGGATGCAGAGAGGGCGACGTATGAGCAATCCGCAGAGTTCATTCTTCAGGACAGCGAGGTCCGCTTCACCGGCGCAGAAACGAACGCACTGCCCGAACCGATGTAAATCAAGAGCCACGCTGGCTGGGCAGTTGAACGTGAGCTTGCCACGGTGGAAGAAGTGAACCCAGTAGTAATAGTGGTCGTAGTTGTAGTAGTAATAATAATAGTAGTAGTAATAGTGGTAGTAGTAGTAGTAGTAGTAGTAGTAGTAGTAGTAGTAGTAGTAGTCGTAGTAGTCGTAGTAGTCGTAGTAGTCGTAGTAGTCGTAATACTCGTCGTAGTAGTCGTAGAAGTAGTAGCAGTAGTAGTAGCCGTAGTCGTACTAGTACTCGTACTGTTACGAGTCGTCGTAGTAGTGGTGGTAGTAGTAGTAGTAGTAGCCATAGTAGTCGTAGTAATCGTTGTAGTCGGAGGAGTCGGAGAAGTCGTGGTAGTAGTCGTCGTAGTAGTTGTCGCAGTCGTAGTCGTAATGGAGTAGTAGTAGTAGTAGTAGTAGTAGTAGTAGTAGTAGTAGTAGTAGTAGTAGTAATAGTCGTAGTAGCAGACACCGCAGCAGTAGTCATAGTAGCAGAAGTAGTAGCAGTAGTCGTAGTATTGTACGAACCCGTCCTGTCGCCCAGAGGTCTGTTCTTCTAAACTGGAAAAGAAAAAAATTCAGAATTAAAAAATTCAGGATTCAGAAATTCAGAATTAAAGAATTCAGGATTCAGAAATTCAGAACTAAAGAATTCAGGATTCAGAAATTCAGAAATAGCCAGGTCAGGATTCAGACGTTCAGAAATAAAAGAAAAGCTGATTCAGGAATTCCGAACTACGCAGCACCCAGGGGATACTCTTCGATTCCAAATTGGTTGGCGGACCCTTGCGGTTCGACTTCGCGAAACCGCGGGCTCTGAATGTCCAAAGGGTCAGACATCACACTCCAGGCAAGTTTCCCATCGGGGCGTGCTGGATATGCCAGCATAGCGGATTCTCCCGCCATGTAGCGCGTGCGCGCGCAGCGTCGATCCCAA